TGGTGAGTGAAATATAACGGAACTGATTTTAAGAAAAAAAGAAATGAATTATATAATGTTAATAGAAATTCATTAAGTCTGCCACATATGCAAAACAAATAATGAAACCAGGATTTTTTAATTGCTGTTGCATGATGATTCTTTCTCTTTTAATGTCATTCTTAACTTTTCCGCATTTCGTTTGGCTTTTGTTCTTTTTAAACGAAAGTCACTTTTTAACTCTGCGTGCGTTATTGCAATCGTCATAGCTGAATGCTGGCTTTCTTTCCATAAAACTGACTACCTATTCAATAGCTATTTTCAATTTCAGTCCAGGTTTCATGACAATCATACTATATTGAACTCAACCATTAAAAAGTCTGTTTAAAATTTCCACTTTTTGCGATAATTCCAAAGTTGTTCTTTTCCTTTTATTCCCATCATCTTTTTCACCAATACAAGCCATTAGGGTGACATAAGGATAAGCAATTATCCAAAATAAATTTTCTGAAAAACAGAAATTTCAAATCAGTTACATATCACCCAAATAGTTCAAATATACACATCAAAATCCTGTCCGGATATGAGGGATTCCGGATATGAGGGATTCCGGATATGAGGGATTCCGGATATGACGGATTCTACTGTACTAATAATTAACCTTTACGTCTAATTTGCTATGCTCAATATAGCCCTTCACATTCTAAATTGCGCAAGTCTGGTTAATGCTAATGGCAATAGTAGCCATTTTCTTATAAGGAAATATTCCGCATTCATTGACCAAGCGGTTACTGCTGCTAACGGTTGAAAGTAATAAAATCTTTCAGGAATATAGGTTTCTCAATCCAATAACTTTATATGCTCTTTTCAGTAGGGATTTATCGGTCTCCTCACAGAGACGTGATGTGACACAAGGTCGTGTTTAATCTCGGCTACCCGAGCGCGTACACTTGGGCCAGGGTCCAAAATTGACTAATCGTCATTTGCGCTGATATTGATATTATCACCGTTCCCTCTCTCTCGTGCAGTGAGGTGTGTACTGCCGCGGGTGGGAGCTGTTATCTGGGATTGGGCACCGATCAGTATATTTCCCGGCTGCGTCATAACTTAGTTGCCCTCTGCCCCAAGACAGAGAGGCAACTGAGAGATGAAAATACACTACCTGACCTGTGCTTTTCAGTACTGACACAGGCTTCCTTTAAGATTAATATTTCGATGTTGTACCTACATGCGGTATTGTGTAAAACTACCCTTTGTGTTCAATTTTCTTATCTCTTATATTTTTATAACTTAATTTATATCTTAATTCCTGTTCTTTTATTGTTCGCTCTCCTTAATAGTTTTTTTTTATTTTATTTTTCTCTAACAGTCAGTCACCTCTTACGCCTTAAAAGCTTTATTGCCTTGCTTGGCGCTAAATGATTAAAAAAATCAAACAATTCAAGGAGGTCTCTGAAGTCATTAGTATTTTACTAATTTCACCTGAATTCACGGTAGATAGCATCATTTTTTGGCTTCCAACCATATCAGGATCATCGATGTTAAGCAACATTGATCCTGGTCAGTAGTTAGATAGGTGACGGCTTGGGAATATCAGGTGATGTAAGGTTGGATGTGCGGGTGAAGCAATGGATGATGACCCGGAAATCTTAATCGGAAACTAGTTTCGATTCTAGTTTTTTTTTTTTTTTAAGTATTTCACCCCAAGCAAGGCGGTAGTGCCACTAGCACACATGGGGGTTACAGAAAGCGATGGCTAGAGCAAAGAGGGGTGTTTGAGGAAAGGATATAGAGAAGGACGGGGATCAGGATCAAAGTATCAAAAGATGTCGATTGACATTACATTTGAATATTTCAAGATTATGGTTATCAGGCGAGAAAAAATCTTCTGGCGCGACACGGAGAACCAACTTTCCTCACTGTAGATGAAGCGATTGTTTGGATGTTGTTGCACCCCAGGTCAGTGGAAAATTTAAGACCAAAAAGAGTGACGCTCTCGTGGAGTTGGGCATCAGCTATGATGATAGGGGGGCAGAGAGAGTTCTCTATGGTGGGTAAATGAAGGCAGTTTCGTTTTGGAGGAATTAAAGTTTACAAGCTATTTCCTGTCCTTTTTTCGAGACCAACGGCCAGGTTAATTATGGCAACAGCATTCAAAGATTCTAGATTTGAAGGGTGAACTCAGGCGGAAAAAACCTTCACTTACGTGTATATTAAGACACTAATCGTAATATATGCTTTGTATACCAAAAAAAACAAAAAAAACAAAAAAAAAAAAACTACAACACACAATGGTAGTTACCGTATATTGTATTAGCAATTATTCGACATTCGTCAGGTCTATTGATAAACACATTAAAGTCAGTCATATGAAATATTAATACACTAGATTACACATCATAAAGTCCTATCAAATATTAATACACTAGATTACACATCATAAAGTCCTATCAAATATTAATACACTAGAGACCAACGGCCAGGTTAATTATGGGAAGCCACAGCATGTCTGTGAGAAAGTGACTGTAGATGAGATATCAGATCAGGACCTATCACATTGCATATCCCTCGTTATATTCGCTTTCGCAAATATACTTGGGAAAGGTATGAGTCCACCTGTTCCGTCCCCAGCTATGAGTTAATTAGTAAAACTTGTAAAATTGCTGCTGCTCATTTTTCCTCTCGTAGAAAGTCTTCATCTATTTTGAGTTTGGTTGTGGCGTTTGTTTTTTTACACACGCACAAAAATATAATTACTTCCCGTACTCATAAAAAATTATAGTTATAAAAAAAAAAAGTCGCTAACAGCTTCATTTTAAATGGCATAAAAGATATCATTAGTCACTTAATCAGTTGAATAACACAGACTTCATTCGCTAGGTGCCATCAACTGGGGGGGGAAGCCTCAGGACTACTGCTCTGTCTCAGTTGAATAAAAAAAAAGTGTTACATAGGAAGAGTCCTGATTTTGCGCTTATAAGGCTGCGGACTGCTGATCGTTTATTGTCGGCTCAAAGTATTTGGCTACCGGTGTTACGTAGCCGAGCTGTGGAATCCGGGATTTCGGAAGGCTTCGGAAACTGGGATTCTTGCGAGAGAATTTCTGCCTAAAGCCTGCTAATCAAGAAACATAATCATGAGGCTGAGTTAAGGTTGGGAAGGCTGTTGCGGGATGAGAGCCTAAAGAAAAGAGAGACGAAAAGAAGGGGGTAGAAAAGAAACTGTTGGGTTAGCTGGACAGCGATAGATTAAACGATATTGGTGCTGTTGTCAAAATAGATCGCTTTTGGGGAAATTAATCAGGTGTGAAGCGTAAGGAAAGGAAAAAAATGGTAAAGGCTTGAGGGGGTCCGTGTGATGGGGCATTGTGACGTGAGGGATATCAGTAGGAAAATATTTTTTTGAGAAAAAAACTGAAAGTAAAAAAAAAAAAGTTGAGAGAAATCAGAAGGAAGGGCAAAAAATATAATCGAGAAAAAGAGAAAGGGAGACATACCTAAAAAATTCATTAAGTAAGCCTGTGTAAAAAATGTAAACAAATCTTCTTTTATTTAGGCGACCGTGGCTCTCCACAGATTCTTATCCACCATAGCTCTAAGAAATGTTTATCGGCTTAATATCCACCCCAATCCCTGTTGAGTTTAAATTCGAGCCAAAGACGGCGTGTTTGGTTTCTTAGATATACCTTTGGAAAGAGTATCTACGGAGGCCATACAAAATGTCCTAAACCTCATCCAGAAGGAATTGGAGAGACAAAACGGTTTTTCGATATTTTTAATGCACTTGAATGATGCTTAAGCATTGCATTTCCACCTCAGAAGAAAGTGGCGTCTTGATTTCACCATTTTTTTTTCAAAATGGCGACCACGTCATTGAGATTTGAGTTTACGAAACAGGAAGAAATCAGATGGAGCATTGTCCGGTGAGTAAGGAGGATAGGGTAGCAATTCAAAGCCACAGTTGGCTGACACACCTACTGCAACATTAGCAGTATGAACGACCGCGTTATCTTGGAGTGACAGCACACCTTCCCACCAAGTCTGCGTTTCGACTTGAAATCTGGTTCCAGCATTCTTGGGGACCATCTTGCAGGGAGCTTGTTCCTTCTCAAGATCTCAGTTAAAACAGTATGGACTGAACCAGAACTAATGCCTATGGACTTAGCTATTAGGCTACACTGTAAGACGTGTGTCATCCAAATACATACTGTGAATGGCAACAACTTGTTCATCAGTGGTTGAAGTTTTTGAACGACCTGCGCTTGAATTTCACAACCCACTTCTTGACATTTGGAAGGGGCGTCCTCAGCAAGTGTCTGTATCCGGCCCTCATGGATTTTCTTGGGTGGCAAACCATTCTTTTGCAGATATTTTATGATTGTTCAGGCCTCTGTTTCGTCCATTTTCAGATTTGTTGCACACCTCTCACCTTTGTATGGGCCTCACCTGCACAGAAATTAGAACATACATACTCAGTAGTTTTTCTAATTTTAAAAGAATTGATAGTGTCTTGCCACAGCAAAAATGTTCAGCAATGGCTGTTCTTTCTTGGTGAGACTTAGAACTTTTGAACGAACCCTGTAGCAATTCCTCTCTGGAAATAGTATTTGCAACTGAAACAAAAGCAAGAGTTAGCGTATGGAGGCTTTGGCTCTATACTGAAAAGATGAGTTTACAGGGTTAATTATTTATGAATGTGTTCCGACGAGCTACCTTCATTAGTCTCACCACGCCTGAGATTTAGAAGTGTGACAGACCATATCGAGTATACATATGCTAATCATTGAAATTGTAAAAAGTAAGTTCTGTCTTTCATCCGGAGAACTGCTGCTTTATGGAAAAGACTTCCGACAGGAGCGTCCCACAATCACAAAATCTTGACCGCTTCAAGTCTACGCTTAACCCTTATTCTTCCTACCTAGCACCAAAAACTCCGTCTTTCTTAAACTCATACAACACAACAGAGTAAAGGGTGGTTTGTTTGGATTGTTTTGTTTTAAGTTATATCAACCTCAATGGATTATGTTTATTGCTGGTAATATTTTTATCTATCTATCTATCTATCTATCTATCTATCTATCTATCTCATTCTGTTCGTATCTATCTATTTCTGTTCGTATCTATCTATCTATCTATCTATCTATCTATCTATCTATCTATTTGGTCTTATTTGTTTTGTTATATGGCATACCAACATCAATGGGTTATTTAATGCCGACAATATTTTTATTGCTGAAAATAGATTCTATCTATCTATCTATCTATCTATCTATCTATCTATCTATCTATCTAAGACTCTTCTCTTCCCATTATCTATCTATCTATCTATCTATCTATCTATCTATCTATCTATCTATCTATCTATCTATCTATGTCAGTATATATTGGTTTAGTTTGGTTTGTTTTGTTTTACGGTGCTTCAACCTCAATGGGTTATTTAATGCCGACAAGATTTCTATTGCTGCTAATATTTTTTTTCAAAAATCTATTATTGCTAATAGAAGCCAGGGTGGAGTAATGGATAGCGTCCCGGATTGAGGAATCGATAGAACTGAGTTCGAATTCCAGTCGAATCCATTACATTCACTTACAGGCTAATACCCTTAGGAGAGGTATGAATCCCCTCCCCCTCGCCACAGCTATGGGTATATAGCAGAACAGACCTTAGATGGCAACTGGTCTACCGCAGAATGAAATGGCAACCTACTGCTGCCAAGAAATCTGTCTCGTCAGTCATGTATTGAAAGATACATGATCGCCTAAGCGAGTATCACGCATGTCACATAACTGACTGAAAGCGGCCCGGATTATGGAATCGGAGAGCTGAGTTCGAATTCCAGTCGAATCCATTACATTCACTTACGTGCTAATACCCTTGGGAAAGGTATGAATCCCCCTCTTCTTCTCCGCCCATCAGCTATGGGTAAATATGGATTCTACGGCCCTGGATAGTAACTGGTGTACCACAGAAAGAAGTGGCAACCTACTGTTCGTCAGAAATGTATCGAAAGATACATAAGTGTGTATAACGCGTGGGACATAACTGCCAATATATTTTTATCCTTCAAAAATGCATTGCTGGTAACATTGCTTTTTTCAAAAATATATTACTGGCAAAATTTTTTCCTTCAAAATGAATTGCTGGTATTAAAACCTATATTTTTACTTTTATAGTGTTTTAACCCACTGTTTGGGGGTTAACTATTTGTTCATAGCTGGGACCCAGACAGTTGATACCACCCTGGGTCAGGGTGGAACTGGGAATACCAGTAATTAAGAGGTGGTCCCATGCTTCTCAGAAATTCCTGATCAAAGGCCTAGCTGTTGGATGTAGTCCATCGTCATACCCAAGAAAGCGGATATAGTTTACCCTCTTACCCAGGACTAACATGTAGCGTCAAACACAGGAGGTAGATGTAGTTTATCGTCATAGCCAGGACGCGGATGTAGTTTATCATCATAGCCAGGTCGCGGATGCAGTTTATCGTCTTACCCACGACGCGAATATACTTTATTGTCATGCCGAGGACGCGGATGTAGTTTATCGTCTTACCCAGGACGGGTAGAGGTAAGCATGAACATAAATGGCTCTTAGGCCTTGTATTAGCTGAAGAATTGTATAGAAATAACGGTAATGTAATTGAATTCAGAACCTCATTTTTTGTAAGGAAAGTGTATATACCACTGAGATTGTTAGCCTTGTAAAAACATATCATCATTTATGTTTATTTATTGGACAAGGATATGAATGTGTCTTGCTGCTGATGTCATTTAACCAATAACAATCTGTCACGTATAACTTGGAAAAGGAGCGAGTAGCAGTCATTAAGCTTCATAGCCCTGAGAGATCCAAGGAAGGTCAATTACTAGGCATAGCATTTACAGAAAGCAGAAAATGGATGCCGCAAATAATCGAAATTCGGTTTCAATCTATTTTTTTTATTCATTCTGGATCGATTTAAGCAATAATTCTGGAATTATTTTTCTTCTCCACTTCATCTTCGAATCTTCTTTTTTTCTCTGAAATTTTGTGATTGGAATCCACTTGATAATGTTCCTGAAAATGACACTACCGAAAGGATAAGAGTCTCATCCCCCATTTCTCTCAAATAAACCTGCAATTGTAAAATAGCCAATGAAATGTTAATTTCCAGATCTATAATGCTGAAATAATTAAAGTAAAGGCAATAAACGATATATATATATATATATATATATATATATATATATATATATATATATATATATATAACAATGAATCATTCATACAAAAAGTAGATTAGTGAAGTCAATGATATAAAATGGCGAAAACTCTTCGGAAACAAATTTTTAAAGTTACTGAAAAATAAAATAATTTCCATGCCTGAGGATGACTGTATGTACAGGTGAAAGTACTTGCAGATTAAATAAAGACCTTATACAGCTTGTAGTTATTAAAAAACAAGTATCATAACATTCATCGAGTGGTTCGTAGGTTGATGCAACTTTAAAATTTTGTTTGCGCAGTGTTTTTGCCATTTTATAACATTAACTTTACTTTTTGTATGACTGATTCATTGTAATATAAATTGAACTGTACCACATATTTGATATATATATATATATATATATATATATATATATATATATATATATATATATATATCGTCTTCAAAGAAGCAAGATCTAAAATGTCAGCCAATCTAACAGTTATCTCATCCCACAATCCTCACTCTTGCTCCAAATGTGGCCTCTTTTATAAATCACTAGCGGGTCTTAAGTGCCACTTAAGATTGTCGCAGAAAATTTCATAACTGAATCAATAAGCTATCATATCCTCATACGTAGAAACTGACGGGAGAGTCCATTATATATATATATATATGTGTGTGTGTAATTAGGAATATAATTATATTCATTGAAATAAATTTATTACTCTTAATGCTTATTTAAGTTTTTTTCATAATTATTCTTATAATTTGCTCTGTATCATACATTGAGCTCTCATATGGACTGAAAGTTCTCTTAGGAACTATCCATATCAATTACAATTTGATATATATTCAGTGGGGGGAACAAATATTCGTACACATAAATATTTTTTATTTATTGTATATCCAACTAATGAAAAATACACTTTTCATATAATTATTTGTCCGCAGATATATAATAGCTAAATATACAGAAAAAACAAAAAAATGATTTATTAGAAATAAATTCCATTTATCCATTTCAATGGGTCAAAACAGTTTTCGTACACTTTTGGAGAAAATGGAAACACAAAGAAAACTTATAATTATCATTAGAAAAAGGCAGTTGAAATTCCTGGAACCCATAAGGAGGGCTTAGAAAATCGGATACACGAGGGGCAGTTTGAGGAAACGAGGTACAGAGGAAAAAAGCGCGTAACAAAATCGATAATCTATCAGATAATGGATTGTAGATCAGGATTTGGGTGAAATAGCAAAATGACAAAACTTTTTAAGAGCTACAAATAATAGGAAAATGTGGAGGGCCATCAACGCCTACCAGAAAAGAGAAAATACATTAGATAATAAAATACCTGTCAAGAAATTACAAATATTTACCGTGAATAATGTAACCCTTAGTCCAGCGTAGAAGTGTGTGACCTTTTTACCGAAAGTGTCTTTTTCAGGCAGAGACGAAAAAACACGCCCAACCTAGACTCAGTAAGAAGTCATACAGCGATACTTCAATACCAAAGACTGTATAGATATATATTGCTACTAATACGTATTCCTGGAACTACTAACCTGCTTTACCAGTTTGTATTATTACATTAATACATTATTTTCATATATGCATTCCTGGCGTTTGTTATTTATTGGTACCGGATTTCAACCACAACAACCACATACATCCCTCGTGCGGGGTTGGGGAGTTTTTAAATATTAACAGTGATATAGACTGTTCAACTGTCGAACTCTCGACGGCAGAGAGGAACCCGGCCGAGGCTTTGCCGAAGGGCAAAGTTTCGTCCGAAGAGGTAGACTGGCCTGGACCGTTTATGCGGCTTCTAAGGGAATATTTTTGGGCGAGCCTATGGGCTCGGAGAACTCACGGTAAACTCGGCCTTGTGCCACATACATCCCTCGTGGGGGGGTGTTAAATATTAACAGTCATATGGACTGAACGCTGGTCAACCGACACCCACTCCCAAGTCGTGTAACACAGTTCTGTTCTATTTACTGTTCTATACACTATTTAACTGCAAACTCTTGTTTTGTTATTTCTTCACCAATTACTTGATCACAACAAAAACAAATAACCAATTCGTCTAAAAATGAACCGTTTTTGACAAATTTATTAACAGGCAGGGAAGGGTTTAACAATCAGTGCACTTTGTATACATTTTTACCTTAGCAAATTGCTTTCTCTTTTAATTAAAGTAGCATCGTTTGAATCGAAATTATGGTCAGATTAATTACAGTGAATGTCCAATGCATTGAATGTGTTATTTTGAAAAATATCCCTTTTGTGTTCATAAAAACCTTTAGATAAAGTCTTCGAGATCTATGCTGTGTATTCATTTTGGTAGCCAAGCGGGCACTAGAGCAAATTCTAGCGTCATGTTTCAGGCTGTTATTATTTTAATTTGAATTAAGTCTTATTGGTTTAGAATTGCTATGACGAATTTTATGTTAAGCTCAAATAAATTCTTTACAATTGTAGCTGTAATAGAGTTGGTATTAATGTATCATGTTTCGTTATGCTTTTATCTTTCATTCTTTTATTAAAAAAAGATGAGGATTCTTTTTCTCGTTGTATATGAACAAATTAGAATATTATAATTATTGACAAGATATTATTAAGTTAAATGGCCCAGTCGCTCGGACCCGAGTATGCCAGTCTACTAGGGTAGCTAACTAATCCTCGTTGTAGACGCCTGCTCAGGCACATTTGTGTTTGTTCAACACCTACAGAGCCACATGTGGTTTATTCTACAACTATATTGAGCGGACCATAGTTACAGTTTCTGGAAGAGAGCGCTTTATCTTGCAGGATTAACAGTCTGAACAAGGCCAGCAACCGTAAACCCTCGGTCACGATGACTTATGACTTCATGCTAGGACGGCTCACAAGGGTTCCGCCTAGGAAGAATTTTAAGGTATATATATATATATATATATATATTAAAAAGAAGAGGGGTGCCGCAAACGTTTTTGGTTGTAATGTGGATTTATTGAGAAAAAATATTATACTTTGTTTTACATAATTTCACGACACGTGTTTCTGGTCTGGTCTCGCAACCGTCTTCAGGTGAAAGTGGAGATTTTTACATATTATTAAAAATAATTAATTTTTCTTCATGTTCAATGTGGAATATTCTCGATATGAGACATTCTGTTTGTGTGTTGGCAATCCGAATTTTCTTTCTAGAATTGTCAATGAAGAGTTCTGCGTGAAGGGTCATAAAACAATTAAGGTTTGTCCAGCGAGTAGTTATCGGCATTTAATCTTTTAATGTTTTAGTGACCTCTATGTGCTCTTGGATCTGTTTCTATTTTGGCGTGTTCCTGTCAGCATGCGTGTATATATGCGTGCGTATATTTCCTTACTACGAGGAATTCGTAAACTTATTTGTACTTATACACGCATACACACACATACGCACATACACACTATCCCACCACAAGTAGTCAGTACACACACACATATACACACATATTTCCCAAGCTACAGCTAAAGTTCATAAATCGAGTGAAATAAAAGCAGCTATACATACACAAAAATCTGAATACATTAGCATCCCAAACCCCAGTGACCTTACATTCAGACCCATAGTAGCAGGACCAGTCTGTCCCACTAGCAAACTCAGTAACCTAATAGACATAATATTGCAACCATATACTAAACAAATTAAAAAAGCACATCAGAGACGATATCCATTTCCTTAGCTGCATACCACAAAAAGGTAGATCCGGGAACGCTTATGGCAACTTTTGACATCAGTAGCCTATACAGTAACATACCCCATGAACTAGGGAAAAAAAGCGATCTCATTCTGGATTGAAAAACATCCAGAAATACTACATCCGAGATTCACTAAAGAGTTCATTATCGATAGTATAGACCTAATTCTAAACAATAACACCTTTGAATTTGACAACAAAAACTATATCCAAACCCTAGGTACTGCGATGGGAACAAAAATGGCACCAACATATGCCACCCTAACATTAGCTTACCTAGAAGAAAACCTCTATGAAAAGATAGAACAAATATATGGGACAAATATAAAGACCAATTCACTAAATCTTGGAAAAGATATCTGAATGATTGCTTCATCTTTTGGAAATCATCATGGGGTGATATTAACCAATTCCATACACTACTTCAAAACTTACACCCAAAAATCAAATTCACGCAAGAATATAATTTTAACGAATTACCATTTTTAGATATACTCATTAGAAATAAAACAACCACATAATCACAGATATCTACCACAAACCCACAGACACCCAACAATACGTTCATTTCAAGAGCCATCACCCAAAAAGCTGCCTAAAATCCATCCCCTATTCCCTAGCACGTAGAATTTGTACAATAGTGACTGATAAACATCTCCGAAAAATCCGCTTAGAAGAACTACATAAAACTCTCAAGAAACGAGGCTACCCCACAACACTAATAAACAAAGGTATTGAACTCGCGAAAGAAATTCCTCTAGACCAACTTAGAAATAAAAAGAAACGTAACGTCGAACAAACTCTAGCATATGTCTCAACGTACAACAAAAACAACCCAGAAATATTCCCAGAAATCACAAAAAAATCTAGATTTACTTAGCAAGAATAATAAACTGAATAATATACTAAAAACAACCAAAATAATTAAGAGCAAACGCCAATCTAGAAACCTAAAACACATATTAACCTCATCTAAATTTAGTCAACACAAAATACAGGGAGTCACAAAATGCAACAAAAAAAGATGTGGAGTTTGTGACATCATTATAGAAGGAAACTCCTACACTTTTGAAAACCCCAAAAAAAACATTCACAATAAACAAAAACTTAAACTGCAACTCCAAAAATGTAGTTTATGCACTTAAATGCACAAAATGTAAGAAGTCATATATAGGCATCAGCCAACAACTGAACAACAGGGTCTCCCTACACAAAAGCAATATAAAATTGACAGACAACAGAAAACTTTTTGTATCACAACACATTTTCAAATGTAACCAGGGTAAGTTTAATATCATGCCGATATATCAAACAGACAATTACTCGTATCTACAAATACAGGAAAAAACTTTATAGACAAATTCAAACCCGAACTGAATAGATCGTAACCACCCCCAAAAAAAAAAAAAAAAAAACATGCACACAGGGTGACCAAATACAATCATCGCTCACATGCATGGACGCACACTCATATACAGGAGACACGAGGAGATATATATATGTGTATGTTCACATACATACATTTATGTATGCATATGCGGATGTTGACAACTTAAGAAGTACGTGTGTGTGTGTGTGTGTGTGTATGTGTGTGTGTGTGTGTGTATGTGTGTGTACTGGTTCCATGTAGCTTTGGGAAATATGTGTGTATATGTGTGTGTGTACTGACTACTTGTGGTGGGATAGTGTGTATGTGTGCGTATGTGTGTGTATGCGTGTATAAGTACAAATAAGTTTACGAATTCCTCGTAGTAAGGAAATATACGCACATATATACACGCATGCTGACAGGAACACGCCAAAATAGAAACAGATCCAAGAGCACATAGAGGTCACTAAAACATTAAAAGATTAAATGCCGATAACTACTCGCTGGACAAACCTTAATTGTTTTATGACCCTTCACGCAGAACTCTTCATTGACAATTCTAGAAAGAAAATTCGGATTGCCAACACACAAACAGAATGTCTCATATCGAGAATATTCCACATTGAACATGAAGAAAAATTAATTATTTTTTAATAATATGTAAAAAATCTCCACTTTCACCTGAAGACAGTTTTTGCGAGACCAGACCAGAAACACGTGTCGTGAAATTATGTAAAACAAAAGTATAATATTTTTTCTCAATAAATCCACATTACAACCAAAAACGTTTGCGGCACCCTCTTCTTTTTAATATACATACTTTTCTCTCGTTGGAACCACTACAACATATTTCTTTTATATATATATATATATATATATATATATATATATATATATATATATATATATATAGAGAGAGAGAGAGAGAGAGAGAGTCATAGTCAGATAGATAGATAGATACTGAACCAATTTCCATAGATGGATAAAGAGTTATATAGCTAGCAAGCTAGATAGATAGATAGACAGACAGATAATTAGATATTGAACAGATATTTGATAACAAAGATAGATAGATAGATGTGTGTGTGTGTGTGTGTTTTAAATATTCTGTCTCATTATATGAAAATGACAAAGATAATCGATTAAAAATATGTAAATATATTTTTGGGACATCGATGTCGAATTCTTCATTTCAAACTTGAGAGGAATATATTTTGCTGAATATAGACTCCATTTTTAGATTCTGTCAACTTTTTCATTATCTGCAAATCTTCGTTTAATTTCTTCTTCTTCTTTTTCTTCTTCTTCTTCTTCTTCTTCTTCATATTTATGCTCTCCATCAATTCCTCTTTTTCCTTTCATTTCTTTTTCTTCTTCTACATTTCTTTCTCTTCTTCTTCTTCTTCTTCTTCTTCTTCTTCTTCCTCTTCTTCTTCTTCATATTTATGCTCTCCATCAATTCCTCTTTTTTCTTTCATTTCTTTTTCTTCTTCTACATTTCTTTCTCTTCTTCTTCTTCTTCTTTTTCTTCTTCCTCTTCTTCTTCATATTTATGCTCTGCATCAATTCCTCTTTTTTCTTTCATTTCTTTTTCTTCTTCTACATTTCTTTCTCTTCTTCTTCTTCTTTTTCTTCTTCCTCTTCTTCTTCTTCATATTTATGCTCTCCATCAATTCCTCTTCTTTCTTTTTTTCTTTCTTCTTCTACATTTCTTTCTCTTCTTCTTCTTCTTCTTCTTCATTTATTCATTCTTTCTCCTTTTTTTCTCCGTCTATTTTTTCAACATATTTTTTCGTTAGAGTTTTTTGCTTTTATCAATTTCATTCTCCAAATCTTCTTTCATTTCTTCTTCTTTTTTTTTTCAACATTTTTCCTTCATTTTTCATACTTTCCCTCTTCTCCTCATTTCATTTTCTTTTTTCTTTTTTTTCATTTTCTTCTTCTTCTTCTTTTCATTTCTTCTTCTTCATTTCATTCTTCTTCTTCTTCATTTCTTTTTTCTTTCTTCATTTTATCCCTCTCCTTCATTTTTCAACATTTTTCTCTTTTTTTCAGACACCATTTTCTTCTTCTTTCTTCTTTTCTTTTTTCAATTTTCTCTTCATTTTTCTCTCTCATTTTCTTCTTTTTCCCTCTTCTTCATTTCTTCTTCTTCTTCTTCTTCATTTATTTCCTTCATCTTTCTTTTTTTTTTTCAACTTTCCCTCTTCTTCATTTCTTCAACATCTTTTTCTTTTTTTCAACTATTTTTCTTCTTCATTTCTTCCAACATCTTTTCTTTTTTTCTTCAACTCCTCTCTTTTCTTCATTTTTCAACATCTTTTCTTTTTTTTTTCAACTCCTCCCTCTTCTTCATTTCTTCATCTTTTCTTTTTTTTCAACTCCTCCCTCTTCTTCATTTTTCTTCATCTTTTCTTTTTTTCAACTCCTCCTCTTCTTCATTTCTTCAACATCTTTTCTTTTTTTTTCAACTCCTCCCTCTTCTTCATTTCTTCAACATCTTTTTTTTTTTTTCAACTCCTCCCTCTTCTTCATTTCTTCAACATCTTTTCTTTTTTTTCAACTCCTCCCTCTTCTTCATTTCTTCAACATCTTTTCTTTTTTTCAACTCCTCCCTCTTCTTCATTTCTTCAACATCTTTTCTTTTTTTTTTCAACTCCTCCTCTTCTTCATTTCTTCAACATCTTTTCTTTTTTTTTCAACTCCTCCCTCTTCTTCATTTCTTCAACATCTTTTCTTTTTTTTCAACTCCTCCCTCTTCTTCATTTCTTTTTTCAACATCTTTTTCTTTTTTTTTTTTTTCAACTCCTCCTCTTCTTCATTTCTTCATTTTCTTTTTTTTTCAACATCCCTTTTTCATTTCTTCAACATCTTTTTTTTTTTCAACTCCTCCCCTCTTCTTCATTTCTTCCAACATCTTTTCTTTTTTTTCAACTCCTCCTCCTTCTTTCTTCATTTCTTTTTTTTCAACATCTTTTCTTTTTTTTTCAACTCCTTTTTTTTCTTCCTTTCTTCAACATCTTTTTTTTTTTTTTTCAACTCCTCCCTCTTCTTCATTTCTTTCAACATCTTTTCTTTTTTTCAACTCCTCCCTCTTCTTCATTTCTTCAACATCTTTTCTTTTTTTTTTCAACTCCTCCCTCTTCTTCATTTCTTCAACATCTTTTCTTTTTTTTCAACTCCTCCCTCTTCTTCATTTTCTTTTTTTTCCTCTTTTTACTTTTTTTTCTTTTTTTTCTCCTCCCTCTTCTTCATTTCTTCAACATCTTTTCTTTTTTTTTTCAACTCCTCCCTCTTCTTCATTTCTTCAACATCTTTTCTTTTTTTTTCAACTCCTCCCTCTTCTTCATTTTTCTTCAACATCTTTTCTTTTTTTTTTCTTCATTTCTTCAACTCCTTTTTTTCCTCTTCTTCATTACTTCAACATCTTTTCTTTTTTTTTCAACTCCTCCCTCTTCTTCATTTTCTTCAACATCTTTTCTTTTTTTTTCAACTCCTCTTCTTCTTCAACATTTTTCTTTTTCAACATCCTTTCTTTTTTTCACTCCTCCCTTTTCTTCCCTTTCTTCAACATCTTTTTTTTTTTTTTTCAACTCCTCCCCTCTTCTTCATTTCTTCAACATCTTTTCTTTTTTTTTTCTCCTCCCTCTTCTTCTTCATTTCTTCAACATCTTTTCTTTTTTTTTCAACTCCTCCCTCTTCTTCATTTCTTCAACATCTTTTCTTTTTTTTCCTCCTCTTCTTCATTACCCTCTTCTTTTTTTTCTTTCTTCTTCATTTCTTCTTTTTCTTTTTTTCAACTCCTCCCTCTTCTTCATTTCTTCAACATCTTTTCTTTTTTTTTTCAACTCCCCTCCCATCTTTTCTTTTTTTTCAACTCTCCTCTTCTTCATTTTTCAACATCTTTTTTTTTTCAACTCCTCCCTCTTCTTCATTTTTCAACATCTTTTCTTTTTTTTTCAACTCCTCCTCTTCTTCATTTCTTCAACATCTTTTCTTTTTTTTTCAACTCCTCCCTCTTCTTCATTTCTTCAACATCTTTTTTTTTTTTCAACTCCTCCCTCTTCTTCATTACTTCAACATCTTTTCTTTTTTTTTCAACTCCTCCCTCTTCTTCATTTCTTCAACATCTTTTTTTTTTTTTCAACTCCTCCCTCTTCTTCATTTCTTCAACATCTTTTCTTTTTTTTTTCCTCCCCTCTTCTTCATTACTCCCATCTTTTCATTTTTCTTCCTCATCTTTTCTTTTTTTTTTTTCTCCTCCCTCTTCTTCATTACTTCAACATCTTTTCTTTTTTTTTTCTCCTCCTCTTCTTCATTACTTCAACATCTTTTCTTTTTTTTTTCTCCTCCCTCTTCTTCATTTTCTTCAACATCTTTTCTTTTTTTTCAACTCCTCCTCTTCTTCATTTTTCAACATCTTTTCTTTTTTTTTTCAACTCCTCTTCTCTTCTTCATTTCTTCAACATCTTTTCTTTTTTTTCAACTCCTCCTCTTCTTCATTTTTTCAACATCTTTTCTTTTTTTTCAACTCCTCCCTCTTCTTCATTTCTTCAACATCTTTTCTTTTTTTTCAACTCCTCCTCTTCTTCATTTTCTTCAACATCTTTTCTTTTTTTTTTTTCAACTCCTCCCTCTTCTTCATTTCTTCAACATCTTTTTTTTTTTTTTTTTCAACTCCTCCCTCTTCTTCATTTCTTCAACATCTTTTCTTTTTTTTCATTCTTCAACTCCTCCTCTTCTTCATTTCTTCAACATCTTTTCTTTTTTTTTCAACTCCTCCCTCTTCTTCATTTTTTCTTCAACATCTTTTCTTTTTTTTCAACCTCCTCTTCTTCATTTCTTCAACATCTTTTCTTTTTTTTCAACCTCCCTCTTCTTCATTTCTTCAACATCTTTTCTTTTTTTTTCAACTCCTCCCTCTTCTTCATTTCTTCAACATCTTTTCTTTTTTTTTCAACTCCTCCCTCTTCTTCATTACTTCAACATCTTTTCTTTTTTTTTCAACTCCTCCCTCTTCTTCATTTCTTCAACATCTTTTCTTTTTTTTTCAACTCCTCCCTCTTCTTCATTACTTCAACATCTTTTCTTTTTTTTTCAACTCCTCCCTCTTCTTCATTACTTCAACATCTTTTTTTTTTTTTTCAACTCCTCTTCTTCATTCTTCATCTTTTCTTTTTTTTTCAACTCCTCCCTTTCTTCATTTTTTCAACATCTTTTTTTTTTTTTTTTCCTCCCTTCTTCTTCATTTCTTTTTCTTTTTTTCGCATCTTTCTTTTTTTTTCAACTCCTCCCTCTTCTTCATTACTTCAACATCTTTTCTTTTTTTTTCAACTCCTCCCTCTTCTTCATTACTTCAACATCTTTTCTTTTTTTTTCAACTCCTCCCTCTTCTTCATTTCTTCAACATCTTTTCTTTTTTTTTTTTTTCTCCTCCCTCTTCTTCATTTCTTCAACATCTTTTCTTTTTTTTCAACTCCTCCTCTTCTTCATTTCTTCAACATCTTTTCTTTTTTTTTTTCAACTCCTCCCTCTTCTTCATTTCTTCAACATCTTTTCTTTTTTTTTTCCTCCCTCTTCTTCATTTTCTTCAACATCTTTTCTTTTTTTCAACTCCTCTTTTTCTTCATTTTTTCAACATCTTTTCTTTTTTTTCAACTCTTCTCTTCTTCATTTCTTCAACATCTTTTTCTTTTTTCAACTCCTCCCTTCTTCTTCATTTCTTTTCAACATCTTTTCTTTTTTTCAACTCCTCCCTCTTCTTCATTTCTTCTTCACATCTTTTCTTTTTTTTTCAACTCCTCCCTCTTCTTCAACATTTTTTTTTCAACATCTTTTCTTTTTTTCTTTTCCTCCCCTCTTCTTCTTTCAACATTTTTCTTTTTTTTTTCAACTCCTCTTTCATTTTTTTTTTTTTTTTTTCAACTCCTCCCTCTTCTTCATTACTTCAACATCTTTTTTTTTTTTTTCAACTCCTCCCTCTTCTTCATTTCTTCAACATCTTTTCTTTTTTTTTCCTCCTCCTCTTCTTCATTTTTCTTCAACATCTTTTCTTTTTTTCAACTCCTCCCTCTTCTTCATTTCTTCAACATCTTTTTTTTTTTTCAACTCCTCCCTCTTCTTCATTTCTTCAACATCTTTTCTTTTTTCAACTCCTCCCTCTTCTTCATTACTTCAACATCTTTCTTTTTTTTCAACTCCTCCCTCTTCTTCATTTCTTCAACATCTTTTCTTTTTTTCAACTCCTCCCTCTTCTTCATTTCTTCAACATCTTTTCTTTTTTTCAACTCCTCCCTCTTCTTCATTTTCTTCAACATCTTTTCTTTTTTTTTCAACTCCTCCTTCTTCTTCATTTTTTTCAACATCTTTTCTTTTTTTTTTTTCCTCCCTCTTCTTCATTTCTTCAACATCTTTTCTTTTTTTTTCAACTCCTCCCTCTTCTTCATTTCTTCAACATCTTTTCTTTTTTCAACTCCTCCCTCTTCTTCATTTCTTCAACATCTTTTCTTTTTTTCAACTCCTCCCTCTTCTTCATTTCTTCAACATCTTTTCTTTTTTTTTCAACTCCTCCCTCTTCTTCATTTCTTCAACATCTTTTCTTTTTTTTTCAACTCCTCCCTCTTCTTCATTTCTTCAACATCTTTTCTTTTTTTCAACTCCTCCCTCTTCTTCATTTTTCTTTTTTCAACATCTTTTCATTTCTTTTTTTCTTTTTTTTTTCAACTCCTCCCTCTTCTTCATTTCTTTTCTTTTTTTTCAACATCTTTTT